ACAGTGGGATCCACCTTATATTAATTTTGTTTTCAAAGATCCAGTTTTCATGTTTCCAGCTGTCCCATAGGCTCCTTCAAGCAGGAAGTTTTGCTTCTTTGCATCCCCACTGGCACAGAGTAGGCAAAGCTGATATAGTCCAAGAAGCAGTAGGATTGACAAGACAGGACATCACCAGGGCTAGGGTCTTGGATGTGCAGGGCAGATGTTAACAGTAATGGGTGACGCTAGGGGCCTTTGATGTTATTGGCCCGGCTTCCTAAGTGCCTGCCTTGTGCACAGCACCAGGCTCTGGGAGCAGAGGACCAGGAGAGGATATAGAAGAACAATATGCTGATGCCCATCTCTGACCTCAGAGAGTCTATAAGCCACACATAAAACCTGGGCTGTTAACTGCAGTAGGAAGTCCAGTAAGAGAGCCTGGGGGCAGGGAGGGAAGGCTGGCTAAGAGAGGTGTGAAGTCAAACTTGACCTTTCTGGATAGAGGGGATCTTGCTGAGGCTTTCCCAGGAGGGAGTAGAGGCAAGAATGAGTTTGGATTGGGGGAGGGGCTCTAGCTGGGGCTAGTGGCAGATGTTTGTCCAGAGTTGGAGGAATGGCCGAGGCTGCGTAGTAGAATGAGTGTGTGGGGAAGGTAGACTTGGGGCTTCACTGGGGAAAGTCTGCCAGGTGAAGAGGGTGGATGTGACAAAGAGTCAGGAGTGCTGGGATGTTCTTAAGCCACTAGGTGTTGTGGCAAATCCAGCACTCTGAGAACAGTTGCTTGGTCCTGGCATACAGGCTAAACTGGGAGAAAGGAGAAACAGACAAGGACCCCACCTAGGAGCCTGATGTGAAGTGATGGAGGCTTTTAACTGGGGTTGGCTGGTGGGGAGCCGAGAGATTCTGAAGAACAAACTACGGAATTGTTGTAAAGGGAACAAGACTCAGTCTCTAAATTTGATGGTGAGTGGTGTGGTGTGGCTCCCTTTCCCCACAGAGAAGGAAACAGAACAGGCCAGACTGGTAAAGGTGTTTATCCAAGTTCATTCTGCATGTCAGTGGTAGAACTGGCACCAAAAGCCTGCTTTCTGTCTCCTGGTCCACTATGTTGATTGTTGTAAGAAAAAGAGACAGAAACTAGTTGGTTTAATATGGATCTTTGTTTAAATCTGATATGAAAAGGACCCCACTGTAAATATCTTCTGAATTGGCTCTGACTCCACTTCTAATAATGTTATGGGTTATTATTTTATTTCTTGCATAAATGTGATTGGTGGTTTTGGGTTTTAACCTATTCAGTGTTGGCTGTCTGGTATCATTAACCTAATGTCTTGTACCATCCCCATTTTGTGGATGAGAAAACAGGTGTCTGAAGTGTCACCCTTAAGGCAGCAAGCAGTGGCTGTAGCATCCCAGCATCCATTTCCACCTCCACATCCAGGCCAGACCTAGTGGCTCATAGAGCTGTTTTGGTTGGTACTTGAGACCAGACCCATTTTGCGAACTTGAAGATTGGACTTTCTTTCATTTCCCTTCTAGGGAGTGAGCCTTGCATTCCTCTTAAAGTGATGTTTGGGAGTGAGGAAGGAGCAGATGGCTGAGGGAATCTGAGAGTGAGCAAGAGATAATGTCGAGATGTGGAGTGGAGAGGGTTGTGTGTGTTGCAGCCTGGCTGCTATGTGCTGTGTGCTCTCCAGAAGGTGAAAGAAGCCTGGTCCACATCTGCTGCCCCCTGCCCTTCCCAAAGAGAGAGCTGCAGCGGAGCCCAGCAGCTTCCTCTCCCTGCATCTCCCAGTGGATGTCATTTCCCAGTAGGTGCACCAGAGGAGCCCCTCCAGCAACTCAAGTGTAGGAGAGAGGGCCCAACCTTACGTTACATGATTGCAGGCAGAGGCCCATTCAGTATAATGTCTTCATTCTACCATCACCTTGCCCCCCATGCTGTAAATGGGACCACCGTACTCTATAAATGGCTCCCCCAAAATATGCTGTCGTTAAAACACAGCATCACATTTTACAAACGTGTGTGGCTTTGATAGTCTAACCCAGACTTTCCCTTCTGATGCGCCGAGATATTGATCCCTCAGCCCCCAGAGCAAGCACCCCAAGTACTTTTTCTGTGCGTGCCAGGAAGTGGAAAATGTTGGGAAGCTCTGGTCTAACAGAGCTTCATGAGGAGAACAGCCATCAGTTAAACAAGCAGACCTTGTTTGGCACAGAAGTGGAAAACCACACGAACTCAAGTGGGCCCTGGCTCCTGAGCAGTGTTTGGCCTGCCTCCTTCCCTTAGGTTTTTGGGGCTCCTGTGGTATGGCCACCGCTAGCTGGGAACATGGGCTTGTTGCTTCAGGGGACACAGCACAGATGCAACTACCAGCTACATCTTCAGTGCCAAGTAAATGCTTCTTCTTGGGCTCTTTATTCCATGACTTGTTTAATATGTCATTTTTCATGATGCTTTGAATGTTGCCCTCTGATGACTGGGCTCTCTGTACCTGTGTGGTCCCAGCGTCGTCTAGTGGTGTCGGCATCCATAGCACATGTTTTTCCTGTAGCTCCTTTCTGGTTTTATAACCAGACTAGGTTAGAAAATAAGGTTAGTTTCTCTGTCCCCCATAGCACTTTGCCCAGATCTCTGTTAAAGGATCACCACATTTATTGTAGTTCGTTATTTCCACATTTGTCTCCCCGTCTACTTTAAGCACTGCTTGTGAGCAGGAATCTTGACTCATTGCTCTGTAGCCCCTGGATTCAGCTTAAGGCCTAAATCGGACTAGGCCCTTAGTAAATTCTTGCTGAATGAATGGGTGAGTAAATGAATGGCTGTGTGAGACCGGCCCCACAGTGCCTTCTCTCAGTCCTGAATTAGGCAGTTGTGTTAGCATCTTCAGCCACTCAGTTTAACACTGAGTCAAAATAGAAAACATAACTCACTCTGGCATAAGCCCAGTTATTTTCCTAAGCAAGAAAAGCCTATAACTGGGTTCTCTGCTGGGTTAAAGTCCTTGCATCCAGTTTCTCTGTCTGTGCTTGTCATCTTGGAGACCGCTGGGGTTCAGGCAGCCTCATTTGTGTTCATTTGCTGTCTTTCAGGCTGATTCACCCTGCAAGTGGCCGTTCCTACCATGAGGAGTTCAACCCCCCAAAGGAGCCCATGAAAGATGATGTATGTAAACCCAAGACAGGAAACTTCCTTTTCTTTCCTTCCCCTTTCTTCCTTCACTGTCTTTCTCCCCACTTTGTTCTTTCCATCTTCCGTTTATTTCTACCAGTATTACTGACTTAACCGTGAACAATAACACTATCACATAAATCACACGGGCTGTGGCTCATCTATAGTGTCTCACCAAGTGTCTTATTGCTTGACCTTGAGGTCACTACCAGTGCCACCTACTTCGCAGGGCCGAGTTTGTACCTGTCTTTTGTCCAGAGCAGCCCTTTTCTGGTATCGTGGCAACCTAAATAAATGGTCAACTAATCAGGAGAAGAGCTGCTGGGAAGCCCCTAAGTAGAGCCAGGGTGGGGAGAATAGTACTGAAGAGAGTTTTGTGGACCAGCCCTGCTTCAGAAGAACATCCTCTCTCTCTAGTGACTCCGCCGTGCCCTACAGATTCAGAAGAGCTTGGCTAGGTTAACACGGCCAGGTTCTTACGACAGTCTTCAATCTCTTACAGATGTAAAAGGGCGGATCTCACACATGCTCACTGTAACATTTGCCATAAATTGTCCATTTCGTCTGTTTTAGAGCACGTGGGCTACAGTAAGAATTTCCTGGCTTTACCTTTGTCATATGAGACAAGTTCATCAGGTCATCAGGTCATACAGGTTCCAAAGCCATCGTCAACTTGGTCACATTTCACAGAGTTGGTAATTCTGCATGCTCACTTCACTTACCACTTTCAGAATGTTGATGGCTGACAGCTCAGTAAAAACACTGAATACTTAGGCAACTGAGATCCTAAGTGTTAATGCAGCTCTGATTTTGATGTATTCTCCTGGTCTCAGGGGCTTCTGTCTCCTTGTTTCTGACTCTGGAAGTGTTTGTCTTGGAAGCTGAACAGCTGAGCACAAGCTGTGAGAGAAAGACTGTGCCCATCCCCTTCTCTCAGCCCTTCCCTTGCAGCTGCTGTTTCAGTCTCCCTGACGTCTCTGGACCAGGTGGTCTGCTCCTGGGACCGACTTGCTGGGAGTAGTGAAGTTCTTCATAGCTCTCTGTTGGGGAGGGTCTAGATTGTCTGTCTTTCCCTCTGATGGACTTCAGGTTCAGACAGCATCTCAAATTTGCATCTGGCTTAAGGAGACCTTGCTAAGAATCCTGGCCTTTCATTGCCCCCTCCTGGTCTCAGGTCACCGGAGAACCTTTGATCCGCCGATCAGATGATAATGAGAAGGCCTTGAAAATCCGCCTGGAGGCTTACCACACTCAGACTACCCGGCTGGTGGAGTACTACAGTAAACGGGGGATCCACTCGGCCATCGACGCATCCCAGACCCCTGATGTCGTGTTTGCAAGCATCCTGGCAGCCTTCTCCAAGGCCACATGTAAAGACTTGGTTATGTTTATTTAATGTTGGGTCCAAAAAGGAATTCTTTCTTCTTCCTATCCCTGTTGAGGAAACGGGTGGGATTGGCAGAGCAGGCAGAGGGAAGCTTCCTCAGGGCAGCAAGAATATCATTTGATGTACTTATTAAAAAAGCACTTGCTCCATCTATCTTTGGCGTGTGTGCAACTCTCATCTCATCTGTGTGTATGTGCGTGTGTGTTGATGTAAGTACGTGTACACTTTCCTACTCTAAGTTATAGGCGAGGTTGCTTTACCAGCTGTATAGTTTTTTAGCCATACTTTTAATTTTATTTGTTGACCAAAATAAACTAACTCAGGTATCTGCCAGGTACCCTAGTTCCCTGGTGTTTATTCTGTCTCTACCAGATAACTGGAAGCTCAGAGTCACGTGAAGTCAGGCAGAGCCACAGTTCCTAATGACAGACTGTTGGCTATAAATTCCACTTGTTTTCTCACCCATAAAGAAAAGCCAAATGAGTCAGTGTGTGGACAGGGATCATTAAGTTTTTTGCCCTAAATGGAAGGGAAAAGGCACTTACATTATAGATTCCAGAAATTACTGGGAGAGGGTATCACCATAGAGAGATCTAAGCCAAGTTGGAATATTTTTGTGATCTGCATCGTGATTCTGTAAAGTAGGAATCATTTGGAACCTGTGTTGAATACTGGATTCTTGCCAAAGAATTAACCAGGTGAAAGGTCCTTTTGAATTTAGAGTGTCTTTTGAGTATCCAGGGTGAGCATCTGAGAGCAGCCAGTCCACTTCCCCAAAGAGAGACCAGGGCAGGTTTCTTTTTAACATTTGCCTCTGTCCCCAAATGTGAACAAAACAGTGATCTGAGGGTGATTTATTTTTGGATCATTTTGATTAGAATTTATTCAAACCCAGTCTCTCTGCAGGATATGAAACCCAAATCAGATGTATCCATTTTAAACTCAACCCTCTCCCTTGCAGATCCAATCCTTCACCCCTTACAGTATGATGGTGATGGCCACAGGTTCCCCGAGAAAGGATCACCCCAAAATAAGATCACCCATGACACTAGCCAGCTTTTATTATTCCTAACCTCATGTCCCCAGCTGTTAAGCATTCTCTGGGGTCCATGCTGCGCCTTTCGGTCTCTGGTTTGATTTGTCGCAAACAGATGAATTAACAGACTGCTGTGAGGGACCACGGAAACAGCAGCCTCTGGAAAAACCGTTAGAAACTCAGTGGCAGGTCCAGTAAATAATACCACCTGCCGGGCATAATGTGCTGACTCAGTGCAGTGGACGCTGAAGTGCCCAGTCCCCACCTGGCCTGAGCTCTCCTGCTACCTAAGGGACCTCCAGCGGGCTTGTCCTCTGTCCGCCTGGAAGCCGGCTGCGGGTACGTGGCCGTCCTGCGTCCCTCTTTGTCCGCTTCGAGTGAGTGTCTGCTGGCTCTGCTCTGCCTTGTTTCCATGGCTGTAGACTAATTCCACCCGTTCTTAACGGAAATCCAGTCTGGCGTGGGGTATTTCTAGGAAGCACATGACTTCTGGGAATGGACAGGGAAAGGGAGCGAAACCAAAACTATCTGCTGTGTCTACAGGAATCTGGGCTCCTGCTCTGGGTGAGGGTGGCCTCATGGATCTTAGAGTCGACTCCCCTTTGCCTGGGGACAGTTGCAGGCACTTGGCCTCAAAGTTGAGGTCCTTGAGTGTTTGCTAATTGAGTGTGCATGATCCTTGCTCAAATATTTGTCATCCATCAATATACATTCACATGTGTGCACACGTGTGTGTGATATTTGGGCTGCCGGTAACAACTAGAAGATCATGGGGAAATCATGCCCTTTGGGGGTGGTTAGGATTCAATTTTTGCTTCATTTAATTCCAGAGCCTTAACCTCAGCAGGCATGAGAGCTTTCACCTGGCAGAGAAATGTCCAGTGTTTAATACATTTGGTTGCTGGGGCGTGCATGCCAACCTTCTCTGATATTTACTTGGTTTTTAAAAACCCATTTTGTTCTCTCTTGTTTCCTCTCTATTTCAGCCTAGTAACAGAAGGCCAGGCGAGACTGCACCACTGCTCATCACCCTGCGGCGTGATCCCTGCTCTTAGGTGCTGGGCAGAGGGGAGGGGTGGTCAGGGTGAGGATGGAGAGGGAGGACTGGGAAGAGCAGCAGTGTTGTAGTGAGCGATTTCTTTTACAGAGAGTAGGAGTCTTCAAAAGTATAAGCAAAGGGGAAATTTAATGTTTTAAAACACCGATTGGAGGGTATAAATAGAAACAGGGAGATGCAGCATTCTTTCTAAGGAATCATGTTTTCATTTACTCTGGACTGGTGACAATATTTTTTAAAGCCAGTGCCCTAATACCTCAGCTTTTATCAGAACCTCTTGCCAGCCCAGGAGTGCAGGAAATTAACACGGCTGTCCTGCCTGTCCTGTCGCTTGAAACAGGGTAGGAGTTGACTACTAACCCTGGTTCCCTACTGTGAGATCAAGCTGTCATCTCCACACTTGAAAGAGATATGGAGTGTGTTCATGAGGGCAGTGGCTCAGCAAATCAAGTTTACTGGAGTCGTGCGGCAGGTGGGGCAGGCTGGTCTCGCTCCCTTCCCGACTCACCACTGATTTACCAGCACACCTGCTCTCGTGGGTAAGCTCTTGGCAGCCACCCAGCACATGCCACAGTCCTACACTCTTGCCTTCCTCCATCTATGATGTGTGAAGAGACCCTTTTTAATAAATGAGCAAGTGTCCTAAACAACATGTTCCAAAGATTATCCTTCCGATCCTCAAATCCTGTGACTGGGATCACTCAACAGCACTGTGATTTATTATTTCCAATGAGGTGCCTTTCTTAACTGTCCAAATGCTGCCTTGTTTGGCCCCTAAATCAATAAAGTGTGTTAAAAATTTGTATCCCCTGTTATGGCATTTTTTAAGGGGATCTGGGCTAGAAAAATGACATTGAATTCTGGATCTGACTTGGAAGCCCTTTCTTGTGACTGGAAGCCGTGAGGCAGGAAAGTCCAAGTGTGTATTCATACGAAGAGCCTGTACCTTATTGACCTCCTGCTCATATACAGGATTTTCTTGAGCCTGAAGACAAGGAGCTTGGTCTAGTGGAGACAGCGCTGTGCTTGGAGTTCAGGGGATGTGCGACGAACCACAGCCAGTCATTTACTCCGTTCCTATTTCCTCGTCTGAACAAAAGAGACTGGCAGTACCGCCTCTTCAGACTCATTGGCAGTAAATGAAGTTTATAAGAAGAAGCTTTTTGCTTGGTGCCTGGCATGCAACAGACACTAGATAAATGCTAGTTGGATCCAAATATACACAGAAAAATAGCTGCTTCCTGCCGGGCTGGATGGTTGTTGAGCGGACAGTTGTCTACAGCCTAGAAAGCCAGTGCTTCTGATCCCTAAGCCAGGGATTTGGCTGCCTTTTCAGCTGCCTCTATTATTCTTGGTTGCTTCTTTGTAAATCCATTTCTTTCCCTGCAAAAATCAGCTTCAATTGAGTGTCCAAACTGAAGCTCTCATGCTCTTTGGAAGGGCTGCCTTTGCCAGGGAAGTTTCTGAGAAATGACCGCTGTTCCCAGAAACAGGGAGCCAGGCTAGAAGCACCATGTTGCTGCGGGCGCTTGTTCCTGAGAGAGGCAGAACATCACTGGTACGAAGTCCTCCTCCCCCTGACAGCCCCTCCCTCTTCTGCTTCACCACTTCCCCACCTCTGCAGAGTCATTTTCAAGTGTCAACGTGACTTATTTGCTCTGATCTTTTTGTTCCCTGAAATATTTAAATGCCTCGTGAAAATTTTCTTCCTTTCCTTGATCAGCATGCAGGAAACTTGGGGAAGTATTTCTCAGACCAGCCTAGGAGAACTCCTAGTATAGTTGGAAGGAATAAACCAAAGGAAGATGGGGTGAGCTGTTGCTCACCCTCTTCTCTGGGCTTGGTCTCCATCTGGAAACCGAGATGCATGAGGTAAGAATCACTACCATTCTGGGAGGGCTGCCGTGCCAGGCGCTGTGCGGCGGTCCCACACCCACGACTTCGCTTGACCCCCACAGAGCACCCTGGGCGGGTACAACTGCCATTCCCCTGTCACAGGCGAGGACAGCAAGCCTCGGAGCAATGAAGTCACATTCCTGAGGGCACACGTAAGAAACAGAGTCACGACGCAAACCCCAGACACCACAGCCTGTCCCCTTGGCCTTGTTGCTGAGTTGATTGAGTGACTGGCAGAAAGGGCCTTTCCAGATGAGTTGTTTCACAGACGCCCACACCACCCGAACTGATTTTAAAGAAATCGCTGCCAATCTGAGGATCCAGGGCATGTGTCTTAGGATCTCTTGTCTGCACACAGTGTCACAGATAGGATGCAGTGGGGTGGAGAGCAGCCTCAGCCCTCAGGAAGCCTTACCAGCCTCCTCTCAGGAAGCCAGCTAAATGAATCAGAAGACGGATTTCTGCAGCACCTCCTCCGCCATGAGCCCTCTGGCAAGTTACCGTACCTCATCAGCTGGATGGGAATGACCCTACCCCTCCTGTGTGCTGACAACACTGGAGACCAAAAGACCCGTGTGGGCTGGGATCCCGGGAACACAGCAGGTGCTCGGTGTATGCTGATGGAGTTGAGAGAGAAAACATGAGCACTGGCAAGAGCTGTTGTCTTCCTGACTCAGGAACCAGGCTAGGCTAAGGATTCTTAACCTGAAGATTTGGAAGTCCATGGGCCTCTGAAATTGAGTGTGGAATTCTGTATTTTTGTATTTTCATAATTAGTGATAGATTAACATATTTAATGCTTATGTGTGGTAGGTTCTGTATACATTATCTCATTTCTTCTCAATAACCATGGGGAAGTAAGTACTATTACCATCTCCGTCTTATGTCTGTGCGTTTTGAGGCTCATACATCTAGGAATGGCTGAGTCTGGTCTGTGGCTCCACACCCCCACCTCTTACACTGTGCCAGTTGCTTTGACACTCCTGGGAGAAGGGAAGGATTCTCAAGGTGCTCATAATACAAGGAATGCTGAATGAAAGAAGAAATCCAAGTAGGTTTGCTCTGTCACAGTGAAGAACATGGGTCGGGGGGTGTTGCCTCAGGTAAGGCCTTTTTTTGTGTCATTTTTCTTTCTTGCTTCCTTGCTATGGGCACAAAAGCTTCAAAGTACCGGATTTGCAGAGCTCTTAGGACCACCAGTATTCATTCCAGAAGGATGAGTCACGGAGAGGGGAGTCAGTCCATCCATCCGTCCCCCTCCCACCATCCCTGCTGGTTCTGGAAAGGGTGGCAGCAGGAGGCTCTGCTCACGGTCCGCTCTCTCAGGCTGCAGCCTCATACATCTAGTGTCATTGGGTGATTCACAACCCCAGAGGGAGCACTATCCCCCTGGCATCTTGGGAATGTGGCAACTCTGTGTTTCGAGTTGTCCTGGGCAGTGGGACGGTGAGCTGCTCTCACAGAAGGCCCCTTTCAGGTGCCCCCAGCAGAGAGCAGAAAGGAGTAGAAAGACAAGGTGTCAGAGGCAAGGCCAGGACAAGACTTAGGCCCAGATACCCTGCCTGTAACTCAGGCTGAATAGATCTGTACTTTGAGGGTAAAATTGCTGTAGAGAAAATCATTATGTTGTATGGTGTCCCTTAGGTAAAGACTTTTGGGACAGAGCTGAGCTTAGAGCTAGGAGATCATTTTGTTTCCTATTTAGCTGGTGTGCATTCTACTAGGTAAGAAGTACTTCACTCTCTACTGTGTTTTCCTTTTGCCCTGGCAGCAAGGAAGCTCCCCTTGTGTTCACTTGCTTTGCTTTCCTCTGCCATGGTTTCTTAATAAAATTCTTACCCCACCTCGCCCAAACTCAGCTATTGTCATTTTAGTGTTTCCGTGCTCGGACGTGTGTTGTAAACTGCCTTGAGTCTCTTTTGGAAAAGGCGTGGGGGTGGGGAGGGTATAGTCAAGTGGTAGAGCACATGCTTAGCATGCATAAGGTCTGGATTCAGTCCCCCAGTACCTCCTCTAAAAATAAATAAACCTAGTTACCTCCCCAACCCCTGCCAAAATAAGTAATACAATAATAAACAAATCAAATATTATTAAAAAAAAGTGAGGTGTGAAGAAAAGGCTAATGATGTGGTACAGGAGGTCAGACTGCAGAAAAGCGGGTAGCTTCATGCAGAAAGCGGATCAGGGTGGCTCTGGGGAGGGAGATTGGGGCATTCCAGGCAGGGGGCGTGGCCCGAGGGAAGGTACAGAGCCCACTGGCACTCACTGGCAGCTTTCACCTAGAGAGCCCCTATAATTCTTGGGAAATCTACAACTGGTTGGAAATGGTGTTTTTCAAACTAAGCAAAGGGACCATAGAAGAGAAGTTTTTCAGCTCAAATGTAATGTCAAGAACCCAGAAGAGCAGGAGATGAGGGTGCATACATCAGCATGGAGTTGACAGCCCACCTGCCACCCTTCCGCCTTCTCCTGAACTCTCCACATTAGTGCTTTGACCAGGAATTGGGTGATCCTTTGCTTTGAGACCGTAGAGGGGGGATTCCGAGTTTTACTGTCAGCTCAGTGTTCAGTCATGTGCCTAGTGGTGTAGGCATGGGTTCTGGGGGTGACGAAGATGTCCTGTGGTTAGATCTCGGCACCTGACAGTAGCTCACTGTGTACCTTGGGGAGATGTTTAACTGAAGTTGAAGATCATAGCACCCATCTGTGGGTGGGCAGAGTCGATATGAATTGAAAAATAGCAGCTGTCCAATAAATGACCTTTTTCCTCTTTTCCCATGACCATTTGCCAAGGGGGAAAAGACCCTACCATGACTACCAGGTATTTCAGGATGTGCATCTTCACCCATTCCTATTCCCCAGTGCTACCTCCATCCCCCTTGGAGTACTGCACCAGACCAAACAGGCTGCTTTTCACTGCACTGTCTGCTGAAACCACCTCTTGGGCTGGAAGTACCTGCTCTTATTCCTCAGACCCTCGATGGTTGCCTGCAGGAACTGCCCTCCTTGAAGCCAAAATGAGAGGAGTGAGAGGTCTGTTTGCTTCCGGGCAGGGGGCACCAGGGAGGTGCAGGAGTGGGCTGTGTCTGGTGAGAATTTGTTGGCTCATCCTTTGAAAACCTTTGAAAATTGCCCCAAAGGAATGAGAGCAGTACCTCCCCTTGTGGTTGGCAGGATTAAACAAGTTCATGGATATCAAGGGCTTTAGAACAGTGACAGCCTCTGGTGCTCAGTGTGTTCCCGAGCTAGCAGCTCCAGCTCAGCAATTCCGCTTTGTTAAATATCCTAAGGAAATGACTAAGAATGTGCAGCATTTGTATAACAGAGTGAGTTGGAAAAAACCTAAGTTTCCAGCTATGGGGGAGGTAGACAGTGATTCATTCATGGAATGAAATGGTATGTGATCATGAAAATAAATCATTACAAGACAGAAGAATTTCATGATAAACTACTGAGTGAATAAACAAAAGTTCTTAAACAATAGAGAATGGGTCCATTTTTTAAAGTAAACATTTTATTTTGGAATAACTTTTAAGTTTACAGAAAAGTTCCAAAGATAGTACAGAGTTTCTGCATACACTTCAGCTAGCTTCCCCTAATGTTAACATCTTACATAACGCTGGTACGTTTGTCAAAGCTAAGAGATTAATACTAGCACGTTATTAGACTTCGACTATTTAGTTTTCACCAGTTCTTCCACTAATGTCTTTTTTTTTTCTCTTACAGGAGTCAACCCAATATACCACATTGCATTTAGGGTTTGTTTTTTTTTTAAGTTTATACACATAGGAAAACTACTGGAAGGTTACAGATGAAAATATTTTTAACTGTGATCGTAGTCGAGTGTTGGCACTAAGGGTTTAAAGTTTTTATTGGGTCTTCTAATTTTTCTGTTTAATGTATCACATA